AAAAAAAAAGAATTTGGAAACAGAGGGGTTGTAGGAGGGAAAATCATCGAAGCATTTAATCAAAAAAAAGTTCACGAATTCATTAAACGTGAATTTAAACTGTTCATTACCATTTGAGGATTCAACGACATAACGTACACTCGTTGTAAATCTTGTTCGATTTGCGTCAGCTGTCGAAAACTAAAAAACAGTTTAAAATAGTTTTTCCATGTATTTCCGACATTTGTGGATTGCGAACTGACAACTTTACTTGTGTTTTGCCGCTAAGAACTCAGGCACTGCCATGTAAAGTGCCAATCTCTTCATGGTTTTTGTCGAATTCCTGAATACACAATCAACGACAAGAACATCATGTTCATCAATCCAATTCAAAACACCATGAACATTACTCAGCAAACAATGATTCAATATCGATACATCGTTATACTTTGAGTCACTCAAGAAGGGACCGATAACGTCCACGATATATCCATCCGTGGCTGTGACCATTATCGGTTTTAGAATTGAACCGTGCTTGTGTCAACAATAGGAACTTCTTTGGAATTCATTGTTCATCGATTTTTCAATTTTAAGATAAGGTCCTATACATGTGAATAAAGAAACGTCAAGTATAAAAAATCGTAGACTATGAGATCTATAAAAGATTTTACCATCAGCAACTAAAGCAAGCTTGTGAAAGATCATTTGTTAATAACTTTTTTGCTAAATCAGTTGTATGATCTTGAATAACTTGATCTCTAGTGATATGTGCAAAATCAACATTAGAAAGGACGAATTGTTCTAAAAGTGCTGTGCGCCCATAAAGTAAGATTCTCGATACTGATTGTTCATTTTTCATATGAAACATGGTTGATAACACCGGGTAGCTTAGTCCGAGACGAAGTTTTGACAGAAATACAGCAAGAGTCACACGTTTTGACCTTGCTCGTGTATTATATAAATGTGGAGAAACGTATGATAGTAAATCTTCGAATTGTTCTATAAATAAAATTGCTGCAATATGTAAGAACTTTGCAAAAAGTTATAACGACAAATTCGTTTATATTTAGAGACTTGTATTTGCTAGTCTCCCACAGACTGCAAAACGTATTTTAGGATTATTTTCGTTCTTTTAGCAGAGGGTTTTATTAAAAAGATTCCTCAAAATCTTGTCCTCGCTTTTGCCAAGCAAAAGTTTGGCATGTCAAGAAATACGAAAATTTTTTAAAAATCCCCGAGGTTCGTCTTTGGATTGCTCTACACTGGTGAAAGACTTTGATTTGAGGTGCTTTTATCTACAAATTACAGTCCTGTTGAAAAGCACACATTACCTCTGGCAAGACCGACGATATTTTTATATCTGATAATGATTCTGGATTATCGAAATCAAAACATTTTGTCTTTGATCAAACAGATCGTGAAAACTCCAATAATATATCGAGTGGAAATCGATTGGGCTGGAGTTTTTTTGCAGACGAGTTGAAGAAAAATCTCTTTTTTGTAAGTTACTTATAAACATAAGGACATGACTAATTCAAAAATATCTCTGCTCAGGTATTTTCCGTTACCAAGATAAGAGACATTATTTCCTAAAAACTGACTCTTATTTATTGCTCCGAAGGCAAGATTTTTTGCTGAATTTGATTACTTAGGCAGCTGTAATTTTATAAAAACGTCTTCCACGGGTGGAGAGAGCACGCAAATTTTGCAAATTTTAGACTTTTTCCATTTTTGACCATGTCGGACTTGTGATTTTTATCACGATTTCTACCAATGAAAAGTAAGCTCGCACCTAGCAACATGTCTCTATACTGTACTCGAGCTACTTATGGTTATTTTATTCATAAAGGTATGATTATAAGTAGCCGGCAGAAAAAGTAGTAATTTTACGGATAATGCCTCCTATCTAGGTAACGGAAATGACCTGAGCAGAGATATTGTTGAATTAGTCATGTCCTTATGAAAATGATCGCCTAAAAAGAAACAACTAATCGTGTGTTAGCAAGGCTCAGATTTAGATAACCATTAAATGGCATATTATTGCCCGTTTTATGGCCGTCACATAACGTTCACCGTCTAATTCACCCTTTTGCTTTGCCGACCTCACTACCATATATCTCACGTTGTTTTCTCATAGAAAACGTAGGGTTTTGTTCTTTCTCGTCTATATAAGTCATCGAAACTTGTGTTGAGGAAGTAGCTGCTTGTTCTAGGTATGGTGCCAGTAATGCAAGGGAGAAACAGCTGATTTCCGGATTTTTTCGATTTTCGCTGAGTTTCGTCGATTTTTCACCAAATGAAAAGTCACCGGAAACGACTGGAAGTCATTGGAAATCACAGAGAATCACACTGAAAATCAGTCGATTTTCGACTTGATTTTGAGCTGATTTCAAACAACTGTTTCCCCCTTGCAGTAATGGCACTGATCATACCTAGGGAACTGAAAATACTCAAAAGGGAAATCATTTATTTCATAATAAATTAGTCGTGATCAACAGATGAATCTTTGGCCATAAACAGTCGATGATTATGCAGAAATAGCTATTAAACGGTTATTATTAAATGCTTGTTTTCAGCCTGTTCCTTGGCCATTAAAAAAATGCCACAGGCATTAATACGTTCCCAGTTATAATGCCGAAAAATGTCCGAAAAACGGTGTTAGCTAGGTACAAAATGCCATTTAAGATACATTTTGTGGGTTGGTAATAGACATTTAATAGACAATAAATTATGCCGTTTTCCACCTCCTGGGATTATTATCTCTAGTTAATGTTCTCGTCCAACGTTCAAATTATACACTTTTTTCCCCAGTGGAGACTACTGTTTGAATGGATGAAATTTCAAATAGATAATTTACAAAATGTTTACATACAATTCTGTCGAACCTTCCGCACAAATATGCCATTTCAAAATGCTTTTTACACGCTCCATTGCCCACGGAGAAACTTTTTGAATAAAACCGCGGTTAACCGCGGTATAAAAACCCGGGCTTTTGCAGGTTTAAATACACCGCGGGAGTCAGACCGTTTATTAGGTTTTTACACACCGGCCGAAATCCGATTTTTCACACTGCGGTTTGGAGCGGTTTTTTTACAAAACGATTTTCTTGATGTTGTCGCCGATATCTGTTCGTTTTCTCTTTCTTCATTCTACATTTGTTTCTATAGCTCTGACCGCATTCTTACCACTGCATCCAAACACCGTGGTTGTTGCTGCTATTGCACTGCGGTGATCCTGTAACGCGGTCAGCCTACCTGAAACCACCAATCTTTCGTATTCGCTGTGTGAGATTCGAACTCGTCACCTTTGATTTTCTTGTCCAACCTGTTTCCATTGAGCCATCTCGGGTTGCTTATACAATGATCAAAACTGATGTTACATCTTACCGATCTAAGTGTTTTAATTAAGAAACATGTGGGAGATGACCAGGAATATCAAATCCGAAGCAAGAAAATCTGAAAAACCTCAGAAAAAAAAGTTCAAAATCAGAAGATCAATAGACCTTTGAGGAAAAAAGAGCAGAAATTAGGCAGACAAAGTACAAAAAATCAGAAATTTTCTGTCAGAATCAGAAGATCTGGGATCCCTGGCGACACACCTGATACAACATGCTCGTGGCGACAAAAAGACAGATAAAAAAGCAATTCCAGTATCGCGGTTTGCTGATATATACCGCACTGTCCAGTCAGGTGGAGAACACGGCATCATCTAACCGCAGTTTTACTGACGGAAACCACGTCTCGAAATCATTAAAAAGCGTGGTGAAGATAACCGAAGTTTAAATCGTAAACATCGTGGTTCAAGAAACCGCTACGCTGAGCAGTATTCACAGACCGCGTTTTAGATCGAGTTTACCGAGGTATATAAAACCGTAAGAAAGCGCAGTATGATATACCGCGGTTCATTCTCACTAAATTGCATCCCATTGATGTCGCGGTTTTCGCCGGTGGCACTACCGCAACTCGATTCGATCAAAACGCGGCGTCTCAAAACCGTGGTTTTTGATCGATTTTTCAAACCGCAGTTTGGATTGAAGAAATTGCGGTTTGTCCTTACCGCGTTCAGTCAAACCGCGGTTAATCGCGTTTTCCGGAATGACACCGCGGTTTGCTACAGAGAAACCGCGGTGAGACAAGAAAACCCGCGGTTAACTGCGGTTTTATTCAAAAAATTTCTCCGTGGGTGTCAGTTACCGACTTCGATTTAGTAACTAACTATTCAGCACGATCAAACAGTATTTGCAGTTGTATTCAAACACTTATCAAAAGGCCGGGTCAGATGGGTAAAAATAGAACTCTGATCTAAATACTGCTTATGTTTGCAATTATTGCTAATGCTTTTTGATAAAAAGCACCTGCGTTGCAGCGTTCTATATAGCGAGTGGGATATCCTTACTTCATTACAGAAACATCTCTTGTTTTTCATCATATTTAAAACTTGAAGACAGATAGCATATTTAGAACGTTATACTATCTATCTCAGTTTTGCTTAGGACCCTGATGCTTGAGAGATGAAAAGTGTGTTATGTTAATAGTCTAGTTAACAATTATAACTGCTACTCAGTTTCGGTCTTTTGGAGAGGCTAACTACGAAAAAATATGTTATTCTGCTTTTTAACCATAACGGAATTAGTTAAATGTGCGCATATGGAGAATATATTTTTTCTCCTGTATTGATGAAAAAAGTCAACCTTGGGCATATAATTTTCTTTTTAGTGATCTGGATTAAGTGGATTAGAGAGACAACTAACGAAGAAATACCTTTTGACTCTTCTCACATATGTGTCTATTTCTTGATACTTTCATATTTCTGTCATACACCTTCTTGATTACGATTGATGTCTCTGTTTTAGAATAGTTGTTTAGTTAGTTGACAGGTGAATATTTTTATTTCAGTTTGTACATGTATCTCCGTTTTGACTATAATGTCATGTCCTTTTATTCGAACTTTAAACTGTAAAAAGAAGATGAAACAATCAATTTTACAGTTTTTTAATTTATTTCTTTGTGTTTATTTTTACGATGACGTGTGGTAACCGTCTACTGTATGTTAGTTCAAGTATTGTAATCGCCATTATTTTCTCCATCACTGGTATTCTAATTGGACGATTCGCTATTCCAAGATGGAATAACAATATCAATTGGAAACCGACTGCTCAGGTCGCAGTTCAGCTCATCAACGATGAAATTTTTTTGAAAAATTTAGCTGAGAAATTCCTTGATAGGGTTGATGCGAATGAAATAGAGAAAAAACTGAAGTAAGTACTTTTGCACGTATAATTTACTGTACAAACGGAAACTTTTATTCTTATTGTTTTCAAATGCAGACAACTTTCTCAACGAACACATCTGGCGGGTACGGATGACGATCGAGATGAAGCGATAGATATTGCACGGAAATGGCGAGAGTACGGGTTTGATGTTACAATTCATCCATATCAAGTCTTACTCTCATATCCAGATTTAACAAAACCGAACACGTATATTTTCATTCATATTAGACTGTACACAATATATAAACCGTTTTTCTTTTACAGCGTAAGTGTAACTAACGAAAATGGAGCAATTATTTTTCAAACAAATGGAAGTGAAACAATCTATGCAGAAGATGGCAATTTACCATTTAATAAGATTGTTAAGCCATTTTTAGCTTATAGTACAAATGGTACTGCTGAAAGTGTAAGAAAATAGGTTTGCATTTATTAAAAGTTGAATGAATCTTCGTTTATATCGTATTTAAGAAAAAATTGTATTATGTCAATTATTGCACATCAGAAGATTTCCAAATGTTAGATGCAATTATGGATATAGCTGATCTTGTTGGAAGTATTATTATTTGCCGATTTGGACGAATTTATCGTGGAAATAAAGTATTTATTATTTTTAAACTCAAAAGAAAAGAAACAATTCATCTCTTCAACTATGTTTAGCTTGGATTTGCTCAACAATATGGTGCTGTCGGGTTGATATTGTACAATGATCCAATCGATTATGCACCAAACGGTACTAGTAAAGATAAAACGTATCCAAATTCAATTTACATGCCGGATACGGGGCACCAACGAGGATCAGTATTAACTACAAATGGTGATCCGTTGACAAAAAATTACCCGGCAACAGGTAAGATTCGATTCGAAAGAAAAAAGACATTTCACACTTATTTATTTTGGAGATAATTGTTGTGTTATGCCCTCTCTTTCTAGATTATATGTACAGAAATCCAATCGTCAATAATACTTATTTACCTAAAATACCCGCTCAACAAATTGGCTACGGAGAAGCGAGGCGACTGTTATCGTATGTACTCGACATTTCTCTTTCTCTCGTTAACCTTTAATATTTTAGTCAACTGACTGGAACAAAAGTTTCTGCTTCTTGGACTGGAGGTTTGACGAATATTGCATATGTGTACGGAGGTGGCTTGAAAAATAATTCGTAAGTGTTTTACTTCCTTCTCATTTATAAAAAGAGCTTATTGTTACTTTTATTTTTAAATTTTGTTCTCTTTAGATCAATCCGATTATCTTCATACAATTCACTTCAACTGCGAACAGTTCACAATGTCATTGCTCTATTACCTGGAACAGTTGAACCGGGTATATTCGCCTCTTTTTACAGAGATTATGCAGAAGTAGAAAATAGGCAAAAGAATACAGAAAGAATTGATGTGAAACTTTTCTTCGTTATAGATCGATACGTACTAATTGGCAGCCATTTCGACGCTTGGACTTTTGGGAGTATAGATGATGGTTCGGGAACAGCTGTTAGTTTTGAATTAGCTCGCGTATTCGGTTCAATGAACAGATCAGGTAGCGTAGAACCTTCAGAAAATGATTCTTACATTAATGATTTATACTCTTATTAGGATGGAAACCTCGAAGAAGTTTAATGATTTGTGCATGGGCCGCTGAGGTAAATGAAAGACAAAAGTAAATGAATTGTCTACGGTTGTTTTTTGTGGTTTTTAGGAGTATGGAATTATCGGTTCTGTCGAATTTGTTGAGGCACGTGCTGGTAAGTTGATTTACCTATTTATTCTAAATTTGTAATCTTTTTAGGAATATGCGAAGATATTATCGGCACGAGTCGTCTCCTATATCAATATGGATGTTATCGTTGAAGTTATGTTACGCAAGACTAGCACTGAGGACTTTCGGAGAATTCCGAAATTATTTTGGAATTCATGCTGGAAAGTGGCATGATGAGAATGAGCTACTCGTCAACATTACGTCGTAGAAAATTCGAATGTTTCTAGAGTAAGTATACCAGTTGAAATTTTCGATTATCTATTAGAATTTATTTGGCATTCCAGAATTGTGACTTCTACAAGAACTTTTTTCACTTTTATAGCTTACGAAATTCCAGGATGAATTCCAAAGTAATTCGGATATTCTTGACTAAATGTTACGTTTGTCCTAATGGGAGTTCGGACAATGCGAAGGGATTCCTTGTTGTAAGCAGAAATTGTAAAATCAGGAATTCTACACACCTCGTCACTATTAAAATTCGAACAATGTTTTTCTTCTTATGTTTTTATGCAGCGCGGTATTATTGATGGAAATGTCCCCTATATTATATGATTTCGGTGTCGATGTAGCAAAGCAGGTTTGTCTTCCATACGCTAGTTAACTTAAATATTAACATACATTTCTGTTTCTATTCAATAACAGGTAAAAGCGCCCTATGTCAACGAGACAATCTATCAGCAATGGACAAGACTTGCAGGTGGCGAAGAGAATATAGATAAATTCTTGTACGTCATATCTGTGTAAAGTGTAACTTTCTCTTCATATTTTTTTGCTTACTTTAGTACATTTGGCCTTTCTGCAATAAGTGATTTTACTGGTTTTAATCAAATCGTTGGCTCATCCAATATTGCGATGATTTACAAATACGATACAGTAGATAGAAGTTGTTCTGTTATTAATGAAAAAAGGCAACGAAATGTTCTGTTTATTTTAGAATTCAAAGGGGATTGCAGGTTATCCACTTTATCATACGCAATATGAAACATTTCGATTAGTTAAAAATTTCTTAGACCCAAACTTCGAAGTACAAAAAAACTTAATAATTTTTTCTTCTTCGGCTATACTAGGTTTTTAGGTACATCAAGCTGTTGGAAGAATGGTTGGTTTAACAGCATTGTATTTAGTCGAAAAGCCATTAA